CAACCGAACCAAGACCTAAGCTTTTAGGCGAAGCAGAGTTCAACGATTTTGACCTGCATCAGAAATCTATTAAAAGTCCACTTTAGACCTAAAACCGCAAGGGTTAGGAATAATAACTTAATTGTACTTAGACGCATATTTACATGTCAATGCACAGTTTCCATTGCTTTAAGCTGGCGTAGTATTGAGGTAGTTTTTTAGGAAGATAAAGTGATATTTCTTCACAAGAGCTTAGAACAGTAACTGGTAAAATGTTCCCCATAGACAATAACAATCTAATCCATCATTTGTCTGTTATATAGTATTGTAATTTTGCGAAATATTACTTCAATTATATTCTAAAATAGACAAATCAAAAAGCTAACCAAAGGTAATTTGTAAGCTTAGTTTTAAATATACTGCTCAAAAAAAATAAAGGGAACATTTCACTTTAATTTTGTGTGTGGCTCCAAATCCAGGCCTCCATTGGTTAATAAATTTGATTTCCATTGATGATTTTTGTGTGATTTTGTTGTCAGCACATTCAACTTTGTACAAAACAAAGTATTCAATGAGAATATTTCATTCATTCAGATCTAGGATATGTTATTTGAGTGTTCCCTTTATTTTTTCGAGCAGTGTATATTTTTTTACCACTTAAAAAATAATTCATTTCAAGTAATTCACATGCAGAATGTGGTATTTTAATCCAAGAAAATTCAGCAACTGTAACTGTTGAATTATACTAAGTGAAATCCATGAGCTGAGAATTTTGTGGTTGAGGACAACTGGGCATGAGCAGTAAAACTGTTAGCTTGAAGCAACAATACGTTTCTACTTTTCAGCTTTTAATGAACTACACGGATCAAGAAGTAAAAAGAAAGTAAAGTTAAAATCCTGGCAGGTCAAAACACTAAAACGGGGCAGTTTCAAAATGAGAAATGTCAAAAAAAAATCCATCATATCAATGAAACGATAAAAACACAACCAAAACATTTCGCTTGCTTTATGGCGTCTATAAAAATGTTCACTCCTCAGATTTATAACAATTTACTGTTCTTCAGCGCCCCTGTTATTTAAAATGGAAATAATTCTCTCCAGTCTGATGATGGACAAGAAAAACATGACACAGTTGATTGCATATTTCCATTTCGACTGCCAACCAACATTTTCCTGAAGTCAAGACAATTTTTTTTTTTTTTTTTTTTTTTTTTTTTTTTTTTTTTTTTTGGGCCCGAAGTTTGAGATTACCTCCAGATGACCTGTTGGAGCAGTCGGATTCATATTTTTGGCGCCATCATTGATGCTTTTCAGGAAAGACTAAATGTCTGTAACTAGGGTAACAAAACCCTTCTGTGACTGCTCAGTATCAACTCATTTTTCCAACTTCTATTTTTTTCTTCTTCTTTTTTTTGTAAATCTACTAATTAATCTAATATGATGTGGAGAATCTATAACTTCAAGTTGGATCATTGGGACAAATTGACTCGTCTGTTTTGTATAAATATATATATATATATATATATATATATATATATATATATATATATATATTTTTTTTTTTTTTTTTGTTGTGGGTTTTTTTTTTTTTATATTTTTAATA